CAACCCCAGACGTACCCCTTTCCCCGCCGGCTTCGAATTGCGGACGGATTAACTGGCTTGGGCCCCGCCAGCTGGAACAACTCGCGTGGTTGTTCAGACGACCGGACCACCTGCGTCATGATTGCAAGCGGCGTGAGTAAAGTTTTTTGCAACCGATAAGTTGTGTCTGCCTCTCCATTCACTAGCCCGCCCTAACGTACGACCAATTTCTAACGCAACTCGAGTCGGCTCTGGCCGTACGAGACAATCTATAGTCCTTATTCCGAGACCTTGTATTCACATTAGGTTCAAAATGATCCAGATCAGCTTGTGTAAGTGATCTGTCATGATACTTATTATTTTGTCAATTATTTGTTTTATCTGCAATATTTTACCAACAGTGATTTTATATTTTCTTCCAAATATATTAAACACATTGGGCCTGGAATCAGTCATGCACTGCCCACAAAATTTCCCCTTCAGCATGCTAGATCTAACAGTTAACCAATCTTTATTCCATTAAATATCTACTAGATTGACTTTTGTATACTGCTAATATTTTTTAAATTGGAATGTCATGCAGGACTAAGTCATTTGCTTTACACAAGTCATTGTGTTAACCAAACTTGTAAGCCATTAAAAAAATGATATCAGGTTTGACAGGACCTATTTTCTCTAAAACTATGTTGACTGATTTCAGTTACACTACTGTTATTTAATACTGTATCTTCTCATATACCTCACTCCTCTTGTTTTAGGAGGCAAAATATTACGGGGGAAGAGAGATTTTTTCTAGTGTATGGCCTAACGCTGGCTCTTTTGTAGAGAGGTTGTGATGTAAAGTTGCTGCTGCTGCTTCCCAGCCAGCAAGCAGTAGGGGCAGAGTCCAGTGTTAACCCTTTCACAATTTGGCAGTGGTTTCTGGGTGCTTAGCCAAAAGCTACTGCCAGTTCAGTAAGGGTAGAACTGAACTTTACCCTGCTACTTCATGGTTTAGAGAAGAGCAGCAGCCTTTTTGCAACGCAGCTTCTCCATGCTTCTACTCCTCCATGCTTCTCTTCCAGCAAAGAACATCAGCTCCACCCTCCTCCCCACCCTTTTAAGACACAACCACCCAATTTGGAAGGACTGATTTGGGGGGGAAAGGTACATGTGCTATATTAGTGAATGTGGTAATTTACTTGTTAACATCACTGAGATAAATTGGAATAAGTTTGCACCCTTCAGTGCAAACTGGAATATGATCAGACTAAGACACTGTTCTGTAAATTTACATTTGGCAGTTTCTTTTTAAGTATGTGGAAAAGTTATAAATGTATAGTATGAAACTACAAATCAAATTATGCAAAGCCTTTGAAACCACCAAATGATTATGACAGTTAACCATCAAGTACAAGTTTAGTACTGTTTAATATTGGCTGTAAGAGTGTTAAGAAAGATTGTTGTATGTACCAACCTCTCTCTCTCAGCTCACCTAGATCCTAGGTATAGACAGATACAGTATAACCACAGTATGGGTACCAAATTATACAGGAGCTGTTACAGTACATCTTTTACTTCCTCATGATTTGGTAAGGAAAGAAGTGTAGCAAGCTGCTCCAACTTTCACCTGTTTCATTCAGGGTCAAAGTTAGGGCAGTTTAACTAACTTGTAACATCATACGGTCATGCAGACATAACAGTGGACATGTCTACATGGGATGGTAACTGCTCAGTAGCATGACTAAAAAGGCGTTCACTGGAACTACTGCACAGTAACTCTGGTATTGCAGTTATTTAGTATTTGATTATATAAGTACTAAATACATGCACAGTAACTACTGCACAGTAGTGTCTTGTGTAGACGTGCCCGGTTAAACCATAACAGCTACCACATTCAGCCAAGTCTCAGCTTCCCTTCCTCTTTTTAAGTGGTTAAAATGTATGTTCATCCATATCTCCTGTTTTGATTTATTTGAGGTATTATGTAAAAACAAGAGTGGACCTTTTGTTAGTTAACATTCTCTTTCTCTTCTAGTAGAAACTGGCAGCGATTATATAGATGTCTGTCTATCTATCTATCTATCCCTCTATATATAGGGATAATTAGAGAAGTTTAATTAGATAGACACTTGCAATACAGTAAGGATAATGGTGGATCAGCAGCATATTATGTCACAAAAATATGAGGCAATGGGGACTACTGAGTAGACCACAGGACTGAAAGGGTGGAGACTGGATTCTGTTTCCAGGTCTTTTCACCAATTCTGAGCAATCTCACCTTCCTGTAATTCAGCTTTCTCTTTTGTTAAATGAGGATAATTATATTTGTCTTTTTCAAAAGTTCTTTTTGAAATTCAAAGATTCAAAATCATTTTTGAGATCCTTGTATGAAATGTACTATGGAATGCAAAGGCTTTTGGTCTGGGTTTGTTTGGAGGTTTTTTTGTTTTATTTTTAAATTGGTATGGATTTCTAGTGGGATTACACTTGGACTATTGAGTTTTTCTAGAAGATTATTGGGAAGTTTTTATAACACAGAATATAATTTCAGTTTAATGTAATACCTTTTATGAGTTAGATAATGAATATCTTTCCTCTTACAGGGAAGTTGATCAAGATTCTGATGGTCATGTCAGCTTCAAAGAGTTTGAATCTGCAATGAACTATGGACAAGATGAAGTATCACCTCTGCACTTTGCCTAGTGTATTTTCTGGTGAAAAGACAAAGCAAAAACTTCAGATCTCAAGACAGTTAAAAGAATTAGTGGAACTTCATTTGTTCCATGAGCATTTTAAGAAATCTGACTATAAATGGCAACTTCGAAGAACAGCCTTTGAAGCTCTTTTTTTGACAACTGGGATGTATTACTATAATTTACATATATGCATGTGTGTGGAATATTTACATTATTTGGAATCTAACTTGTTCCTCAATTTACCCTCCTTGGCAACTTGAATTATGTACCTTTGCTTTTTGGATCTATAGATGAAAAGACAAAGGTTTTTGTTTCAAGTCACTTTGTATTTGATTTCTTGGCTTTTTCAACAGTATTTCACGAATGGACCCAAATGTCTTATACTCCTTTATAAAGATTTTGCCTAAGACTAACTAGTAAAAACTACAGCTGATAAAACCAGTTCTTTTTCAACCCAGGTTCGACTCCTGCCACTGCTCCTGCTGTCTGGGTCTCTGGGTTATTCCTCCCTCCTCCAGCTTCTATTTCCTGCCCCTACCCCTGGGGTAGGACAGGGAAGTCCACAGGGGATTTGGGAGCCTGGAGCCCACACAGAGGTCAAGGGGAAGCCTGTGCTGCCCACACAGCATGCAGCCCAACAGGGGCCACAGCCTGCATGAGGTGCAGCTCCTAGTCACTCAGAAGTTGGACAATTCTATTTTAAATGGTCAGTTTACATGTTTTGCATATAAGCACATTGCCTTTTTAATATAATATCACGCATTGTTTTTATGTGAAAGATTGTTCATTGGTCAGTTACATGTGATTACATTCCAAAGCATCACAGTTTAAAAATAGGAATTGAAAATGTTTTATTTAATAATCATAAAAAAAAATGCTTAAACATTTTTTCAAATTGAATCAATTCTTTTTGAGATTAAAAAGTTTCTAAAATGTGTCCATAAGGCCTGAATATGGCTTGCCAAAAAAGTTACTTATCTAAATCTTCAGTTGATTTCAGTGAACACTTTGGCAAGATAGGTGCATTTCCTAAAACATGATGAGCTAAAATATAAGATAAAGTATGGCCTGGCTTCCACAGGCATGTGCTCATACACATTCTGCAAGCCGGTAGATAATGATGGAGGCACATTTTATGAGATTCCCAGTTCTTTTAACTTTAGACATGTCCATCCAAGCTACACAAGGGCTGTCATAAATCCTTTGCATCTTATTCTTTATATGACCACTTAGCTTCCACTATTTTCATGTTACCTTCCTTACAGATATTAGGAAATTTGATTCTGGATGTAGCTAAGTTATGAAGTTTATTTTGTTGCCCCAATCTCTGCCTACGTGTCAGCTTTTAGATAGTTAACTATTTGAAGCTCAGACTTCTCTTCCTGAGTGTTAGGAAAGTACATAGCACACAGTGGGTGCATCTAGACGAGATGCTTTACAAGGAGGTTAGAGCTAGTTACTGCGTAGTAAATTTCACCATCTACACATGCAGACACTTACTGTGCAGTAATTTGCTCTAATCCTGAGTAAATACGCTACCTGTAAATGCAAGTAGCAAATTTATTTGGGAGTAATTACTGCGCAGTATGGCACATGTAGACAGCCAACTGGGAGCAAATGTGCTCCCGGTCAGCTGGGCAGCAGGGGGCAGGAAATTGCTCTCTGCCCCCAGGGAGCTGCCTGCTGCTGGGGCTGGCTTTGCCACCAGATCTCCAGCGGAGACAAGGTCTGCCTGCCCTGGCAACAGGGAGCTCCCAGCCCCTGCTCCACAACCGTGAAACAGGGACTGAGAGATTCTTATCTCCAGGCCTCAGGTCCATGACCTTGGAGCCCAGCTTGGGCGATAAGAATCTCCCAGCAGACAGCTCCCAGAGGTAGGGAGCCATGTCCCAGGCCCTGCCAAGAGACAGCTGCCGCCTGGCCCCATGCTCCCTGCCAGCCCCTAGTATAGCACCCAGGGAGAGCCAGGGCCTGTGAGGGCGGGAGCAGACTGCTGCCATGAGCAACAAATTTGCTCCTGCTTCCCTACATGTATAGATGCCTGCCCGTGTAGAGTAATGCTTCTAAATTACTCTAGAGTAAACCCACTCCAGAGCATCTGCATGAACAGAGGTGCCCAGAGGTACTATTATAAATAAGGATAAGATTCAACTGCAAGATGAGAGTAGATGCCAGTTCCACTCTGGGATAGGAGACAGGTCTCCAGATGTTTCATAGCTTAAGGTTAGAGGAAAGACCTCCATTCATTTATAACATTTGCAGGAAGCACAGAGATGACTAGGGCTTGGCTTAATGTATATACATCATTCATTTCTGACAGTGCTTTGTCTGAGTATATGCAAATAGATATTTTATATACAGTAACCAAACATGTCTTTGTGTGATTCATGCAATCCATTAACTAAAGAAGTTTCATCACTCAAATTACATTGTTTACCCACTCATAGTGAAAGAGAACTAGGGTTAAATTTGAAGGTCACATTAGCTTTTCCTCTACTATTTGAACTGTGCTTGTAATGTGATGGAATAACACATAGACAGATGGGTTTCTTCTGTTGTTGGGTTATTTTAGGTTTTTTTATATAGTGTTACCAATGACAAGCCACTTGAACAGAACTGCACATAGTATCTGGCACAAGAAGAAACTTCTTGTGGCAGCATTAGCAAAATAAAAAAAACCTAGAAAATGATGGTTTGGAGAACATAGAAGGTTTTATTTTTTAAGAACTCACCTGAAAATATTCATAAAATATCTCCAGAGATTGACTGGCTCATGGGAAAGATAATGAGATCTAGAACCTTTCAGTTTTAGTTCACCGTTTATAAGTCATCCCAGGCAGGTAGTGACCAGACATTGTTATCATAAGAACATTATTCAACAGCCTAATTAAAATGAAATGGGAGATTCCATTTCCAGTACATATGTAAATAAACCACCATTTTAGGTGCTAACTAACAATAATATTGACAGTCTCTACAGAGGTGCAAAAGGTTGACTTATCCTTTGTCAGTTAGACTTGGCTGGGATGGTTTAGTCAGGGATGATCCTGCCTTAAGCAGGCAGTTGGACTAGATGACCTCATGAAATCCCAGCCCTACTTTCCTATGATCTTCCCTCCAGGTCTTGACACATTAGAATGACAACACATGAATGTTTGTAGTGTCACTGTTTGTATGTACCTGGTTTGGGGATAGATTTTGGGTGCAGACAGAAGTGCAGCTCCCAGCTGTAACTCAGAGTGAGTTACAACATTACCCCAGACCTAACAGAAGTTCACTGTTGATTCCAGGGGAGGGGGAATGTAGCTGTGGGCTGGGAGCCTGCAGCCAGGTTCCCATAGCAATAGCCAGGCTCTTTGCCAGTGCTCCCTGTTTTCAGAACGGGAAGGGGAAAAGGCAGTGGAGCAAGCTTGTTCTCAGGGCTCCCCAAACTGTGCTGGAGGGTGGGGTGGGTGAATTGGAGTCCTCCCTCCCCCTTGGGGGCTCCAGTACACCCACCCCACCCTCTGGGGGGCCAAAAAACCCCCAGACTGAACTCCCTCAGCTCCCTTTCCCCCTTCCCATTCTGAAAACAAACACAGGCTGGGAGTTTTACAGACACAAGTTACAGAAGATGCTACATTTTGAAACATCTTTAGCTGATAACTCATGTAATGAGGGGTCAGATTTTCACCCAGTCAGACATTTTTTAAGCTGCTTGCAGCCATGCACTTGTGTTTGGTCACAGCTATAAACTGCTTTTTGTGGCCAGATCAGGTGAGAATTGTCACTTCCATCTGCACCTAATAATTCTTCATGATGGCTAGTCCCAGTACCTTTTGTGAACACAAAGTATAAATAATATTAATAATAATTTTATATTAACTGGGGGCAATGTTTGATATTTAGGAAGTATTCCTCTGCAAAAAGTATTAATACTTAAGAAACTGTTGGCTCTGTTTAGTTCAATCTTGTAAGTCTGAATATTACTATGCATTTAAATATTTGGTGGCTTTTTTATTATCTAGGTGTTACACCATATCTGTTCGAGATTATAGCAGAGGCCAAGATCTTGATGCATTTTTGCCCATTAAGAAATGCCCAGGCATTGCAGAGAGAAGAAAGTTCTCAATTTCTTTTGGCACTGAAAAAGAGAAAGTACTGTCATAAAGAACTTTATTTGTGCAGACATCCTGTTCACAATCCTTTAATCAAAACTCATGGAAACACCATAAATATGCATGAACTTAGATTTTAGGGGTAGGATTTCCCATAGAAGCTTGTAGCAAAAGTTTGATTTCCAGATTCATAGAACTTTACTCAATAATCCACAGCTGTGAATAGGCATTACCTTTGTAGTGCTGAACATACCCTTTTACCACTGCAAATAGTGAATATATAGGGTAACCATATGGGACAGTGATATCTGGGACACACTGCCCTCCTACCTTCAAGTCAGTGGTGCTGTTGCAGGCAGAAGCGGGGATAGGGTGGTATGGTACAGCTCTAATATTACTATTCAAGCAGTTAACGGTGCCAATGGCCCATTACTGATCCATTGTTCTTTACTTCACAGGTGTTAACAGTCATCTCCCCTTTTTCAAGATCATTCCACTATTCAAGCTAAACTATTTTAGGGTGATTTTGCTGTCTACTAGGGCTTCCTGTTTCACAGCTCATGCTACACTGTCTCCCCGCCTCATGCCTGACACCCAGAACACTTGTTTTAATTTTCACCAGCTGGCTGGGACCAGCCTCCAAAATCCAGGACTGTCCCCACCACACTGGGATGTATGGTCTCCCTATGAATATACAGCCACTTAAGTGGTTTGTAGCAGAAAAAATGTGGCAAGACCACCATGAAATGTTACCTCTTTCCAACAGCAGTTTCTTAGCAACTCACTGATTTCTAATACCACAAGTAACACCTCTATGGTTACTAGGGGTGTGCAACCCAGGCCCTATTCAGTTTGGATTCAGCCCGAATGGGGGACAGTGATTTTGTTGATTTGGATCACTGTCCCTGATTTGATTCAGCTGAATCTGAAGATTCAATGCTGATTCGGAGAATCAGCAATTTGGACATAGACACAGCTTTAAATGTTTTTTCTACATACCTCAAAGTACCAGGTACAGCTCATGAACACTGCAATGCTAAGGCAGCTGGAGCATCCCACAGGAGTGCAGGGGGGCCCCCTGCGTGCTCGGCAGCAAATCCAGGTGTGGACCGGAAGTACTTCCAATCCACTGCTGGGTCGGCTGGGGAGCACACCGGGGGGGCAGGGCCGCACTCTCCTGGCTCGGCAATCAGCAGCGGAGGGACCGCGGGTGCCCCCCCAGACCCAGGAGGCCCCAGTCGCCAAGCCAGGAGGCATGGGGTGGGTGGGGCCCAGTGCACTCCCGGGCAAACCCAGAAGTGGACCAGAAGTGCTTCTGGTCCACTTCTGGGTCTGC